AGAGAGAGAGAGAGACAGAGAGAGAGAGAGAGAGAGAGAGAGAGAGAGAAAGCTTTTTGAGATATCTTCTTTACTTTTCTTTATCTAATCTATTGTACATTTCAAAATATAGTTTAATAAATATCAATATAAGAGCAAAAGCTACACAATCTGAATCTGTCTACAACAGGAATAATTCTTTCCTGGTACCCCCAGTACACGATTCTTCTGTACAATCATCTTCCAAAATTTGAAGGTCATTTTGGATCTGAAAACACTGTAAAGGATTTATTGTGTCTTAGAAAACTATTTATTAGAATAAGACAACAATGTCCTACCAACTGAAGATACCTAAAATAATCCAAAAGTATCCTTAAATTCTGAGTAACTGTAGTACATCAGCGAAATATCTTACGTATTTTAAAGAAAGGAATTGAATGTAAGAGATTCTATATCTGGAATCTTTTCCTTAGAAACATGAAGCCAGAGCTTGAGTGAACTATAAAATTTATCTTTCTTAGAGGGTCAGCCTCAGTAATCTCTTTATGATGGGCTAATTTACTGGACAATATATTTGTGAGTTGATTGCTCTCATTCACCTTAATATCTCCAATAATGAGTACTCATTACAAGTTAAAGAAGCCTCTTCAATTTACAGACAGTTAATGTGTTCTTGGATAATTTAGAAAACTCCCTGTATCATATGGGTCTCTGTGTGTTTGTGTGTGAAATCATACACTGTTCATTAGAAATCCAGAATATTTCATTCTATCCCTATGTTTCTTCCTATTCCAATAGCTTGACCTGATGTATGGGAGTGGCAAAGCAGAATTCAAATAATATCTTAACAGAACATTTAAGAGAAATTTGATAGGATGGGTTGTAAAGGCCCTCAGGTCATAGGAATAGCTGTAGCAATACGAATGAAAAGCCTAAGTGATGCTTCTCCTCCTGAGAGACCAAATCTTTTTTCCCCACCTTTAGGAAAGAGGGGATTAGGGAAATGTTGAAGATTACTTAGATACTAGTTCGAGTCCCTAAGAAGTATAGGTACATCCATATTTGAGTTTTCATTAAGGAGACAGGTAAATAATAGAAACTCTATAATTTAGATGGTACAAATATAGTGAGAAAAGATTCTCCATCTCTCTTCCCGTAAAGTTGAAATTTGCAAAGTCTGAATTCCCTGAAACTCAATCTCCCAAGAAAGACAGAAATGTGAATAATAAAGTATGTATCTTGGGAGACAAAGAGGAAATATAAAAATGTAGTAGAGGGCTGGGGATTTAGCTCAGCTGCGAAGCGCCTGCCAGGCAAGCTCAAGGTCATGAGTTCGATTCCCATTACCGAAAAAAAAAATGTAGTAGAATTTATAAACAGATCTAAACTCTCACTTGGGATTTATATAATTCAAATAAAGACCAGTGAGTGAGAAGGTATGTTGCTCTCCACCCTGACATTCACCTATCTTGGTATATTGCTAAATGATTGGATAATCTGAATATTGTCAGTGTACTATTATAGATGGGAAAAATCATATGAAGCACCGTATATATTATATTTATTATACTACGGGGCTAGGATTATAAACTAAGAAAAGAGAAACAATTATCCCCTTTTCCCCAATGATGGCAAATAATTTAGAACCAATTTTCAGATTGGAAGATTTTAAAATTAATATACTAAAATAGTAAATAGTAAAGTGGTACAGTTCATATTTCAAGATTGTAATTTCAAAGTTTCAATTTTTATTTTTATTGGAAAGCATTTATAGTACATAATGATTATATTCTTCATAAGTTTATATATATATGTGTGTATATAATACATCTTATTTATTTTTGGATCTCCTCTCCTCCCCTGTTTCTTTTTTCTTCCATCTCCTAAGAATTGTTTTATTTGAAACTTTTTGAAATGACAGCTTTCTTGAAAATTCATCACATTTTGAGCATTGGAATATGCTGCTGAAATGTCAGGGTGTGAATCCAGACTTATTCCCAGGAATGTTTCCTCCTATGAAACTACATTAATTTTAAAGGTGTGAGACAAAATACCTAACACCTGTAGCCTAATGAAGGAACAATTCACATTGGCTCAGAATCTCAAAGGGTTTAGCGCACATTCAGCTGACTCCAAGGCAGAAACCGCAGGGCAGAAGGGCATGGTGAATGTCATGTCAACCGCAGACTGCCAGAAGCAGAGAAAAAGAAAGCCAGAGCCAAAGTGGTATCGTCCAAGGGCACGCTGCCAGTGACCCACCTCCTCCAACAAGGCCTCATCTCCTAGCAGCACCTGCAGCTGTGAATTCATGGGTGATGATATGGCACCCTGACACAGCCACCTTCTGAAAGCCTCATCTCTGAACCGAGACTTTTGAGGGACAATAGACTGTCTTTTCATTTTTTTCTATCTTTTTCTCTTTCTTTCTTTTCTTTTATTCTTTCTTTCTTTCTTTCTTTCTTTCTTTCTTTCTTTCTTTCTTTCTTTCTTTCTTTCTTTCTTTCCTTCTTCCTTCCTTCCTTCCTTCCTTCCTTCCTTCCTTCCTTCCTTCCTTCCTTCCTTTCTTTCTTCCTTTTTTTCATTCTTTCTTTTTAAGACAACTTCTCACTACCTACCTCAGGCTGGCATTGAACTCACAGTAATTCTTCTGATTTGCCCTCCCAAGTGCTTGGATTATAGGTGCATGCCATCACACCTGGCAAGAGGTATGAACCACAGCCATTTAAACCATAACAGGGAAGATAGGTTGGAGGATAAGTTCCTGTTTCTACCTTGTCCAGAGGATTTCAAATCATCAATTGAATAGGTGTATCTGTGTGTGTGTGTGTGTGAGAGATTTTTAAATGAAAATGCCAATCAACTGATTTTTGAATATTAATGGTCTGGTTTTTACCATGGAGGCAAGGGACTTGTTAGTGTCCCTAAGAGTTCACAACATACTTAATATACATATTTATCGCATGAAAACGGATCTTCTAAAGCAATGACTACACATTAAAGAGATGAGAAAATCATCAGGAAAATCCTCTTTCATTTATATCTGTTCTTTATAATCCATACAGGAACATGTTTGAAAGCTTCCTCTGTTTGAAAGATTCAAAATCATTTTGCACTATTGATTTATTAATTTCTAATAAGACTAATTTATAAAATGATTCCATAGAAAATCAAACAAAACATCCTACAGTCCTTATAATAAAACATATGTTAATTGGGATCTTAATTGGAATATAATGCTCTGTCAATGTATAAAGAAAGAATAGTATTGAAGATGTGACCTCTTTTCTTACCATTGAGTTACACTTCTAGAGCTGTGTTTATCTATTTTTTCTCACATGGTAGACAAATGTTGCCTTAAAAGATTTGGGGGAAACATTGTGACTTACTCCAAATATACAAAGCCTCTTCCTTCATTACTTTTAATCAGTAAATTAAACTAAGGTGATGTTAATCTTGGAAGCAAAACATGAAGGAAAATGTAAATTCTAGAATGCACTTTCAAATCTTAGTTTTGTCACATGTTAGCTGTGTGACTTTAGACAAAGTACTTGAAATCCAGTTTTTTCCCTTATGTTGGAATCAAAATATTAAACTTGCAAAGGAGTAATAATACATGGAAGCTATTTTCCACTGATTTATGTTCTCTCTCTCTTTCTCTCCATATATATATATATATATATATATATATATTTATGGTTGATACATTGTGTCAACTTGGGGAGTCTAGAGGTTTGGCTAAGTAACTTAACAGGAAGCCAGGGTGCTTACTTTGTATACATCCTGAGCCTGTGGAAGAGGAAGGCATGGAGATTATGTAAGAGCTACACGCCCCTTAGGTGTGGGTAGCCTGTTTACGATGTAAGGCAAGAAAGAAGCTGCTTGCCGCCATTCCTCCCTTTCTGCTCTGGCTACTTTGCTGTTCGGCTGCCATTCCCCCCTTTGCTCTTGTTGCTTTGCTACCTTCTGCCTCGGAGCCGGCCAAGTATGGACTGAAATCTCCACAAACTGTAAGCTAAATAAACCTTTCCTTCCTTCATTTTGGGCATTGGGTATTTTGTCTCAGCAACGAGAGAAAAGTAACCAAGACATATATATATATACATATACATATATATATATATATGTATATATATATATGTATACACACACACACACACACACACACACACACACACACACATATATATATATATATATATATATATATATATATATATATATAAAATGTATATTTAGTACCAGGAATTGAACTCAGGACCTTGTGTTTGCCAGGCAGGTTCTGGCTACTGAGCTATGTCCCCTACCCATGGTATATACTTTTAAAAGTGAGAGGCATGGGGTTTGTTGGAGAAAATATATTTATAGCTAATAATGGAACTGCTGAAAATCTGACAAGTACCTATAATTAAGGAAAATAGCTTTTAAATGTAGATGTAAAAGAACCATAAAATCAGGTCTGTGCTAGGGAACTGATACAAGGAAAATGGATGACTCTGAAACAGTGACAAATAAATACAAAAATATCTATCTAAACTTTTATTCAGTTTTAAAAGTGGATTTGTTTAGGTGGCTTAGATGTATTACTTTGTCAATATGATTCTCAACTCATTTATGAGTAGAAAAGGGTAACATAAAATCGTAATGTAATACCAACCTATACTCACTTGATTGCTAAAATTAAAACTTTTTATTTTTTATTATTTTTTAATCATTTTTTAAAAGAATGCAAAGATGAGGCATAATTGAACTTTCATCCTGGGCTAGTGGAAATGTAAAATGGCTTAACTGTTTTGGAAAAACAGTTTGAAAGTATTAAAAATGAGAGCTAAATCTTACAATGTGCTACAGCTATTCAACTCCCAGGAATTTATTTAAAATAAATTGCAGCTTCTATCTATTTAAGAGCTTTATACAACTTCACCAGTGAGAGCCCAAACCTGGAAAGCTAAACATGGCTGTCCACGGATGAATGGAAAAGCACTGACGCTACATCTACATCATGTGATACCGCATACGGGAGAGAGGGAACGCACACTCAACGTAATGTGACAACGCAGATGAAGTGCAAAGTGACTATGCTGAGTGTAAAAGCCAGGTAAATGATATATACTGTATAATTGCATAAAATTCTAGAAAACACAAAATTAGAATAAAAGAAAGTGGCCTTTGTGGCATACTGGGTTAAAAATTGTGCAATATGCATTTATTTTTTGCTTCTTCCACCCCACCTGCCTCACCACTGATAGGATACAGATATTCTTTCTATCCCAGAGAAAAGACTTTCAGTTCATTTCTCTCTCAAGCCCTTGTACCTGCCTATCCTTAGCTTAGGAAGTGTTTTTCTTTATATCTTTTCATGCTGTGCTCTAATCTTTTAGGTTTCAGATCAGACATTCATCCCACTCTTATTGCTCGACATTGCTGCATCTCTATAATATCACTCGAGTTTATCTTTATTAAAGTACTTATCAACACATGAACTTGCTGTGGCTACCTTAACTCACACTCTACCCCTCACCCAAAGAGCCAGTTATTTTGTGGGTGATGTGTATATAGTCATCACCATGACTCTAAAGATGATTTCATAGGTCATATGGTTGCAAAATGTCACACTCTAAATATGTATTACTGTATGTCAATGGTTTTTCCATGAAGCTATGAAGAAGCAAAAAATAAATGCATAACCTGAAAACATACTGCACATACCCTTGATGAAAAGAAGTAGTCGACATGCGACTAAGCAGATAGTGTCCAATTCACCACATCCTGTGGACAAATACAAGTGCTTGCCTTCAGCATACACACGCAGAAACAACAAACAGTAGCATAAAATTTAATATACTGTTTAAAATCATAAAGCTTTAAATTAACTGAGGTCTAAGAATACTTCTAAGAACAGTAAGAAGGCTTTTTTTTTTCCTTTTTAAATTCTATTTCTCCTGACTATATGCATGAAATTTCCCATTTTCCAAGAAAAAGAAAATATAAAAACGTGTAAAGGAAAAATAAATTTTGAAATCTTACAAACTCTAGATAACAACTTTCCGTTTTGGATATGGGCATATTGTAATAATCTATATTTAATGCAGACCGTAAATATATTTTCTGAAAGACTGACTGACCTGAAGTTACTTTTAATACTTTTGCACTGTCACATGCATCTTTGTTGTGCCATTATTTCTTTTTTCAGTATGTTCTCCTTGCATGTGTTTGACCCATCCTCCTGTGATGTAAAATATGCTTTCATGAATATCTGCACACATAAGTCCTCTTGTGTTTAGTTCATGCAGGCATATTTTAAGTAAATAAATACATTCTCCCTTAATAAAAGCCGCCATCATCTTTGTCTGAGCTGTAGCAACAACACGACAATTTTCTCTGCCACTGTCTTTGTCCCCACCTCTGCCACTGGGGTGACCATCGTGACTCATGCTCCACTCTGCAGCCAGACTGATCTTTTAAATACATAAATCAGATCACATCATTTGCAGGTCAAACTCCAAAGTGCTCCCAGTGGAGAGCACTGAAATACAAACATTTTTCCTTGACCTAAAATACCTTATATGATCTGATTTCAGCTTTTTTTCTATAACCTTTTTCCTTTCCACTTTCCTCCTCTCTTACTCCACCCCGCCTGCCCCACCACTGCAAGGATACAGATATTCTTTCTATCCCAGAAAAAAGAATTTCAGTTCGTTTCACTCTCAAGCCCTTGTACATGCCTGTCCTTAGCTTAGGAAGTTTTTTCCTTTGTATCTTTTCATGCTGTGCTCTAATCTTCTAGGTTTCAAATCAAACATTCATCCCACTCCTGTCACTAGATATTGCTGCATCTCTAGCATATCACTCGCGTTTATCTTTATTAAAGTACTTATCAACACATGAACTGGCTTGTGGCTACCTTAACTCACACTCTACACCTCACTGTTAGGTAAGCTCCTTAAGGTGAAGGATTGAGGCTGCCTTTTCTCTTTTAAATAACTCTGTAGTCCCAGCTGTTAGAAAAGCGATTGGTAAATAGTAGGTTTCCAGAAAGTACTGGTCAGTTTTCAGAACTGGAGGAAGAATCATGTGCATCTGGGACTCGGTACACCAAAGGGGCACGATGTCCAGCTAGTACATGTTCGAGATGCTAGGGAATGCATAATATTTCACTTATATTTTCTTATATTTTTGAGTAGTTCTCTCCACTTTCTTAATGGACTTTACGGTTTTAAACATCATTTTGAAATAATACATATTTGAGGTAATTTGTTCAGAGTTTTGACTTTATGTTCCATTTTTAAAATTTCCCACAGTTGGGCCAGGATTATAGCTCAGTAGTGCAAGCACCTGCCTGGAAAGTGCAAGGTACTGAGTTCGATTCTGGTACAAAAATAAAATAAAATAAAATAATAAAATTTCCCACAGTTCACCACTTATCCTACCAGCATTCACTGAATAATTCTGCCCAAACTCACTATTTGAACTTATTTTTTTTTTTTTTTTTTTTTTTATTTTTTTATTTTAAGGATAAAAGGAGGGAAACATTAACAGACATACAACATTTTACAACATATCACAAGCACAATACAGACAATACAGAGTTACAAACAAAGTGGTAGGGAATTAACAATGGTGGTTGTATTACATATTGATATCTTCAAAGTGGCTTCTCATGAAAACAGATATAGACATGCAATACTGGTCAACCAAAGACTCATTGACAGTTTCTTTCAGCATAGAAACAGCAGATAGAAGAACAACCATGTTATCTATCCTGTATATACATACATACAAAATTTTTCCTTCTTTCCCTTCTCTTTTCCCACATCCCAGAAGCCCTTTACTCTTCGGTGGTTTCCTATCATTTCACAGTGTCTATCATACCTCCGAGTTTAACTTAACTCTTTCAAGTTTTACACTAGTGACACAATGCGGTGCTTGCACATGTATGTTTGATTTATTTCACTTATGAGTATGGTCTCTAGTTGTGACCATTTAAATATAAAGGCCTCGAGTTTATCTTTCTTTACAGCTGAGTAATATTCCATTATATAAAAGTACCATAATTTTCTTATCCAATCCTCGGTGGATGGACATTTGGGTTATTTGAACTTATTTACCACACAATTTCTAAGCAAGGCAGGTAGTTTAAAAGAGAGAAAGACGGAATGAGAAAGCATTTTCTTTTTAACTTTTTGGTTTTGTTTTCTTATATTCTCAAATCTGTCCATTCAGTATTTCTGTCTCCCTAAATGACACTACTCCAGCTAGAAGCCTGGTGTCAGCTCTAATGGCATCATTTATGCTTTTCTATTTTGACTACGTACTCATGAATTTCCTGAATTCATATCTCGTTTATAATTTGTTCGCTCACTATTGCCAAATATAATATTTACAAATCATGTTGTCATCTCATCTATAATAGTGTAATGGCCTCCTTTTGGTCTTAAAATATGTCCTTAAGTTGACTGAGCAAAGACTAATGTAACTCCACAGCTAATGTAAAATACATTATAGCTTAATGCAACCCACTAACACAGTAACATATTTCTCAGTGTATTTTAACTCCTTAGTTCTTGTTTGTTTTTTTCACTTAAACATGCTGATTTTCTACTACAAGTTGTGCCATTATAATAGGTTCCCTTTATCTGGAAGGCTCTACTCACTCTTAAACTTGCACCTAGGAAATATTTTGACTCACTTAGATCTTAGGTATATTGTCTTTTTGGAGGTAATTTAAATTAATTATTCTGACTTCGTTGTACTGCATTATAATATAATAGTTTATAGAGTGGTAAAGGACTTATTTCTGCCTGAAATTTATTTTTAGTGCTGTGAAAGCTATGTTTGGCTGGCACATTTTTCCTGCCATATACTGGTTACTAAATTAATGTGTGTTTAGTGAACTAAGAGACATAAAATCTATTCTTAGGGATAGATATGAATATATATGCAACAATCATTTCCTTACAAGATATATTTATAGTACAAAATTTTATATTTAATGTATTTTATTTCATTTATAAATAAAGATTTGATATTTTCTATTACTGATATAGTGAAACTGTTTCCATTGTATTTTAAAATGATTTATAATTTTTGGATTCTAATGTCTCAGAGAGATTAGGTATTTTTTAAAAATATAATCAATTCTGCAAATAGTAGTGATGGTTTTCTCCTTTCTCTCAAGTATTGTATTTTTTTTATTTTAAAGAGAAAAAACAAAAACAAAATGACAACAACAAAGACAAAAACAATACAGGATTTCAAAACAAGATGATAGGAATTAACAATGGTTGCTAGGATACATACTGTTATCTTCAATGAAGTTGCTCAGATTACCAGTTGTAAGAATGCAAGATTAATCAAACAGTTAAGGAGAATAAAAAGTAATTAAAAAGTTAGTAATGATACAGAACTTCACTAAACAAGTTGGTAGAAATTCAGTAATGGTTGTTATATTACATATTGTTGTCTTCAAATTAGTTGTTCAGATTACTAGATATAAGCATGCAAATTTGTTCAAAAAAATTAAGCATTAACTATTCCTTTCAATAAACCAATAGACATCAGCAGTGGAATTATCCCAGTATCCTTGTATATACATACATATTTTTCCCTTCCTTCTTTCTTTCTTTTCTCCTTTCCCTCATCCCAGTTGTTCCTTCTCTTTTATGTTTTTCTTAATTTAGGTCTAAAACCACCAGAAAACATATATAATAATAGGATGATTATAAGCATCCTTGCAAATATCTTTAAAAATATGTTGGAGTAAGCAAAAAAAGTGTATGGTACACTAAAGAGTCCTCAAAAGAAATAGAATTGTTCAGTTTCAATTTTACATTTACCTTGTGCAAAATACTTCTATGTAATACCCTGCCAGGGTTTTCTTAGGAGTGTATCATACATTTATATTTCTTGGATTCCTACAGCCATAAAATGAACTTCCTTTCCTCTTTTGTAGATGATATATGCGGGATAATTCTTCGTTGTATATGATGGATCATCATAAGTTTCATTATGGCGAACACTCCTGGAACGAGGCTATCAGATTTGAATCCTTGATCCTTTCTGTACTAATTCTATGATTTAAAGAAGTAATTTGATTTCTCTGTGACTCATTTCCTCATATGTAAATTAGTATAAGAAAAATATGTTAGTACTCAAAATAGTAAAAGTTCTTAAAGAGTCTCAGGGTTATCATATAGGATTCTAAACATATACAATTGCATGCACAAAATTATAGAGTACTGAATATAGAATTATTATGTCTGTGATACTGGTATTTTGTTATTCTTTTTATTACTACCATCTTTAAAATACAACCAAAAAAGAATATAAAATTATGACACAAGAAAGTCAACATTTGTATCATTTAGAATTAAACTCAAACAAATGTATTATTTTCTATTTTCACAGTGGTGTCTTAATACAACTTAATGATACCATAAACCAAAATTTCATATTAAAATCATAAATTTAACATAGCTTCTGCCTATTTTATCTAGGCATAAAATTCCAGACTTTACAAATTATTCTCAAAACTTAGGAAATGATTCTGATTTATTTTTAGCTGCTCAAGGTCATGACTAAGACCTACAATTTATCAATAAATAATAAGTTGGAAAATGAGTGAGAAAGATGTGTCATTTTAATTTTCATATAATATTAGCCACTAAAGGGAAAAAGTGAAAAACAGGAATAGTTCAGAATAGCCATTCTGCAAATCTGTCATCCTAAGTGATAATCAGTAAATATATTTCAGATTACCCCCAAATCTACTCAATATGATGAGTACATCCTCATAGGGAAACAGTTATCAGTAAACCTAGAGAAAGTTATACTTTATCACTTCATGCTACTCTAAAAATTTTGATCTGAATGGAGTTTGTTGCACATTCCAAGACATGATGCCAAGAATGTGAATATGAGGGTTCCACTACATTGACAACAGTGGCTTAATCCTCATAGTAATAAACTGCCTTTTGCTTTAAATCTAAGTCTCCCATGTATTTGTCATTGAGAATTGGCACATGAGTCTCATTAAAATTAATGCACCTATCTATGTAACTGTCCTGCAAATTCAAAGAACTAAGTCAATTACTGTATATAGATATTTAGGAATAAAACTTAGATAAAATATATGGCTTAAAATATTAAATCAATATTAAAGTTTACATATATTTGTTATTCAATAATAAACATATGCTCATAATGATTTGTTTTTATGGTCAGTTTTGCAGGAGACATATAGTAGTACATCAGAATATGTTTTGGTAATCCTGCTACAATAAGCAAAGTCTACTAACAAGGGGGCATCCCCTCATGAGAATATTGGAAGTAAATTTTTCAGAATTAAGGTCCTTAACAATACATGCTGTGTTGCAGACAGTATGAAAGATCTTATCTAAGAAATATTATATGAGCATAGTATTGGAGAAAAAATGTGAGATTAGCTCATTTCACACACTCATAAAGAGTGTTCTGTTTTCTCCATCTTCTTATGAGAGGATTTTACCTATTCTGTGAATTGGTATATGATAGAAAATTATCACTCTCTTTTTCAGAAACTCTAAAAGTGTAAGAGCTATCTTACAGAGTAGAAAATGATAATTCCAGTTCAACAATCAGAATTTAGGAAGTTTGAAAAACAAAACTTATGAACTCACCTAAGAAATATGCTATTAAAATTTCTCAGTTCCACAGTGAACATTGAGCATAAACGTTCTTGTCAAAGATATATGAGACATTTACAAATTCTTGTTCTTGGATTACAGAGAAAGTTCTACCCAGTCATAAAATATCAGTTCCATATAGAACATTCCTTGACCACAATATAACACAATTGTCTTAGTTACTTTTCTCATTTTTTAGGCAATACCTGACAGCTAAACTTAAAGGAGAAAAGGTTCATTACAGCTCATAGTTTATAGAAGTTTCAGTTCATAATTGGCTGGCTCCAAGGCAGGGTGGCACATGGCAGAGAGAAACAGTTCATGGCTAGCAGCAAGCAGCAGCAGCAAGCAGCAGGGAAGCAGCAAGTGCGGACAGTAGCCCTCTTTCTGTTCCTCACATTCTATCCAAGCTGCATGCCCTGAGAGAGTGACTTTGTTACTTTTCTCTCATTGTTGAGACAAAATACCTGACACCCAAATTTAAGGGAGAAAGATTTATCTAGTTTACACTTTGTAGAGATTTCAGTTCATAAACGGGCTGGTTCCAAGGCAAGGTGGCTTGGCAGAGGAGGACTGTAGAAGAGAAGCAGTTCATGGCAAGCAGAAGACAGTAAAAGCAGACAAGGAAGGGAGAAGAAAAGCCTCTTTCTGTCTCTTCTGTTGTATCCAGGCTATTAGGATTAGGGTGGTGCCAAACTGATCAGTGAACTGATTTAGTAATCACCTACCTTTCATTCTAACACCCTTAATCCCATCACTGCATCATCAATCAATCACACAGTCAAGAGAGCCTCCCATAACACAAGTCTAGAGAACCTCCCATAACAATTATCAACTCAATATATGCTCTTAAACCTGTAGATCTGAAACTTAAACATGGATGTATGAAGAGTGAACAAAATGGTTTATAAACTTCTATAAATTATAGTTGAATACCATCTTGTATAAAATTCACTGAAGCTAAGTAGAAACACTGAGGGAAATTTATGTTCTTAAATGTATCTTACAAAACAGGAATAGTAGGGCCGGAGAGATAGCTCAGCAGCACAGCACTTGCCTGGCAAGGTCCTGAGTTTGGTTTCTGGTACCAACAAAAAAAAATAGGAATAGTAAAACTTAATAAGCATTTCCCTGAACACAGGGGAAAAATAGTATCATTTACACAAAGCAATTGGACAAAGGAAATTAATAAAAATTTTAAAATGAACTTAAAGTTAAAATAATTATCTATAGCATTAATAAGCAGAATCAGAAGATGACTAAATTTTAAAAGGATCATAGCAAAAAATAAAGTGTACTTAAACTGCTTATTCTTAATAAATATGAAAGCAATATAGAAAATCACAAAACACACCTCTTAATCATAGACTATACACTGCTCAAACCTTGTGATTTAAAATGCTTTGAGAAAAGTTTTAAATACAGGAAATGGGAAAGTGTTTCATATACTCCACACATAAAAAAAATTCAAAGCCAATGCTTAAACATAGAAAACATAATCCTTAAATAATGAATTAAGGAAACAAATTATTCCCAAGAAGGAAATACAGCCAAAATATTTCTTTAAATCAAAGAAATTACAATCATTACATGAGATATTTTTGTATATACAATTGGGCAAAATTTATGATGACAAAAGTGGCAATAATGATTACAAGAATACTTTGAACATGTTTATATACTTACAGGAGAAGTATACAGTAAATTGAAACAGACATGAAAATCAGTTTAGACAACTACATGAAGTATTCTAAGAAAACCTAATAACATTTGATTTGTAAAAGTGATTCCCTTTTAAGTATCTATCTTTTAAATACCAAAAATTCTTTCAATAATTTATCTACAAAAAAGCTTAAGAAGATATTGCTTAAAGTTAAAAAACAAAACAATATGGGTATTTCCAAATGGGGACTGGTTAAATAATTTATGGTGTGTAAACATTAGAGTGGTCATTGTGAAGGATTTCCTCTTTTCCATTTGACTTTCTTTAAGAGGACCTGTGTCTCTCATTTACAAGTGTATACATGATTTTTTATGATGAGCGCTCTGATTGACATGATTTAAAAATATATCTGAATAGACAATGATAAACAGCGGACCAACATAAAGCATTTAGTTCCCATCGTATTCTCTAGAGATTATGAATGGAAAAGGAAAATTTTGTTAAATATTAGGTTCAGTTGCATGGATATAACTGAAAATTGAAATGATAGTAGTATAAATAAACATCAGTATTTTCATCGTGTAACTGTATTGGTGTCAATCTCTCTGGGCCTGGAACAAGGCTTTCTAATATAGTGTAAGTGTAGGTTCTTCAGTCAGGAGTCATCTATAGTAGAGAACATGTTTCACATTTGTCTCCTGATAGCTCCATATTTGCTTCCCCAAACCTATCACCTGTCCACTTGCCATTCAGGAAGAAGGAACAAGGAGATAGACAAAATAGACACACCTGTGACTGACCCTCCAACTTTTGTTGCCGTTATTATTACTGTTATTTATTGGAGTTAAACCAAGGACATGGACACTCAGCTGCATCTCCATTCTTTAAAAAAAAATTTAAATGAGACAGTCTCCCTAAATCAATAAGCTGCCCAGATTGTGGTTGAACTTGTGACCCTCTCGTCCCAGCCTCCCAGAAGGCTGTGGTCACAGGCAGTAGCACTGCACCTGGCTGACTGTCTCTTCTTTAATTAACTCACTTTCCAGCCATCCAACTTCTACTTTCAATTCATTGGTCATCCACATACTAAATGCAGCAAATGTTACTCTTATTTATTTGAGATACTGTTGGTAAGCAAAAGAAAGAGACTGGATTAGGTAGGAAACCAATAGTTTCAGAGGAAGGTAGACATAAAAAAATATCAAGTCAATCTGGAGAGATTTCCTTACCCTTTTATACATGGCTCAGGGATAATGGAAGAGTTCTTTCCCCTCCCAGCGCTACCTATTTCTTTATCTCTCATTCTATTCAGAATGCTGATTGTACATAGAAAAGAAGCCAATCTTTGAGATAAAAATAACAGAAAACAAAGAGACTGAAAAATTTCAGGTGCTCATTGATACATTTCACTAAGTGAATCAAAAAAATACTAAAGAATCATCAGCCTCAGAAGCTAAAGTGTAGCAAGAAAATTGGTTCCCTTTTTCTTAAGCAATTTTAGTTTCAAGTCATTTTAGTTAATATCAAAACATAGCTAATGGAATATAAATACATATTCCAATAAAAATCAAATATTCAACAACTATCCATTACCACAGAGGAAAAATTAGTGCATTATGTATGCATTATTGTTTACATATTAATAAACAAAAATAAGGTGTGAGAAGTTACAATAGCCAAGCAGGCATTATAAGTTTTACTATAGTATACATTTTATCCCACAACAATATATTGAAAAATATAACCCTCATGTGGC